TTTGGTACCAGGGATTGAACTAGGGTCCTTGTGCTTGCAAGGCAGGCCACCGAACCACTGAGCTAAATCCCCAGCCATATTACTCTTTTTTCCTTCATTATTTAGAGAATATTAGTTTCTGTAATCAAACCCACGTAGATATGACCTTATGTATTTAATACAGTGTGTTATCCCTGTACAAATGGAAAAAAAAATTAACATTTCTACACCCATATGGCTATTAATTTCTGTACAATGTCAACTCAACACAGTAAATTGGGATAACTTTTTCCAAATTTGACAGCACAGTTAAAGTTTCCAAAAATTGAAATTATATATATATATAACATATATATACACACACATATTTATATTTATATAAAAAGACCAATAATAGCAGTATGTTATGCATCAATAGCAGCAGCAACCTTTCCAGGTTCTGCAGTCATCTGAACAAAATTATAGACATTCAGCACACTCCATTAAAAAAACAAAAACAAAAAAACAAAGAAAAGGATAATACCCAGAAAACAGGAAAGTTCTGTTGCTGTTGTGGTACCTGGCACCATTTTTTGTATTAGCATCTTAATCATCATCTGGAAAGAGAACTTTCTAGAGCAACATCATTAAAAATAGCTCTGATAAAGCATGGTCACAACTACTTATCATAAAGCAGGTACAAGATATTTTACATTTACAGAGTTATGATACAGTACTGTCCTACATCTATAATACTAGAATCAGTTTTGGTTTGAAAATTACTTTGTCTGCAAATAAGATTGCTGCCCCTGCTTTTTTCTGGGCTCCTGTCACATGGAGAATTGTTTTTCATCCTTTCACTTTCAGTCTATGGGCTTCTTTTTGCACTAGGTGTGTCTCTTGTATACAACATATTCTTGGATTTTGCTTCTTATTCCATTTTGCCAGTCTATTTCTCTTGATTGGTGAGTTGAGGCCATTGACATTGCTGGTTATAACTGATATGTACTGACTTATTATTGACATGTTATTGGCCTTTTGTTGACTCTTTTTACTTTTTCACCTTCTCCTTTTAGTTTCTTGCCTTGCCTATTTGATTCGCTCTGTTGGGCCTCATGGTGTCGTTACCCTCATTGTCTTTTTCTAGGATATTGTTTAGAATTGCTTGTAGCGCTGGTTTGGTATTCATGTAGTTTCTCAGGTGTTCTTTGTCTTGGAAGTATCTTATTTCCCCAATCATTTTGAAAGAGTTTTGCAGGATACATCAGTCTAAATTGGAGGTTGTTCTCTTTTAGTACTTGAAATATCTCACTCCAGGCTCTCCTTGCTCTAAGGGTTTGTGTTGAAAAGTCTGCTGTGATTCTGATGGGCTTTCCTTTGCATGTGATTTGTTTCTTTTCTCTTACTGCTTGTAGAATTTTGTTCTTCTGTTGGGTTTCTGGGATCTTGATTATTATATGTCTAGGTGTAGATTTTTTTTTTTTTTAATTGTGGCTAGTTGGGGTCCTATATACCTCACTTATCTGAATGTCAAATTCTTCCCCTCTGTTTGGGAAGTTTTCTATCATTAATTCTGTGAACAGCTTTTTTAAGTCATTTGTATTTTCTCCTGCTACTTCATGGATTCCTATCAGTCTTATGTTATTCTTCTTTGCATCATCTAGGAGTTGTTGGATCAATTTCTCATGAACCTCTACTGTTTTTAAGAGACCTCTCTTTTCATGGTCACTGACTGTATGTAATCTTATCTTCTATATCTGAGATTCTATCTTCGCATTCTTTTATTCTGTTGCGTACACTTTCAATGGAGTGTTTAATCTCCTGGATATGTTTGAATCTGTTTTATGGATTCCATTTCTTTCCTATGTTGGGCATTTATTGTTTCCATTTCTTTCTTATGCTGGGCCTTCATGGCTTCTATCATGGTCCTGAGCTCATCTATTTTTTTGTCAGTTTCTGCTCTAGAGTCTTGAATCATGACTTTCATTTTGCTCACCATCTCTATGGTTACCTGGGAAATTATTTCTGTTTTGAATCTTTCTAGAGCTTGATTGATCTGTTTTGTTACTTCCTGTGCTTTGAGTTCAGGGTGTCCTGGTGGTTCACTATCAGCCTTTTCATCCTCATTTGCCCTACTGTTTGCCATTGGTGAACTGGAAGTCTGTCCTTGTGTCTTGCTTAAGTGTTTTCTCATTTTTATTTTTGTTATCTGGCTGTCCTTGGTTTAATCTCTGGGTTATCACCCAAATCTTCCTGATATAGTTGTGCCCTAGCTTCTGGGTCTCTAACGACCCACAGACATTCTTGTCTTCATAACATCAGAGAAAACAGCTCATCAAATCAACCACAATCCTTTATCCCAACTGATACAATCAGCATCACAATATGATTAAGAACAAATTGGAAAATGACCACCTATGGTAGTCACTAGTCTGTCACCCTTAAACCATGTGAACTGAATTGAAATCAAGAAGCAGTCCAAAACATGTCTGCAGTGCACAAACTTTTCAATATAGTATATTTACCATTTAGGACGGGGGCCCAGACAGAGCGAGGATGCAAGACCCCTGGTCTCAGTTAGCTGATGGCTGACCCATGACGC